GACAGGGTCTCACTGAGTTGCTTAGCACTTTGCTTTTGCTGAGGTTAGCTTTGAACTTGCAATCCTCATGCCTCAGCCTCCTGAGCTGCTGGGATTATAGGTGTGCGTCATAGTACCCAGCTTGAACACTTCACATTTTTATAGTCTTCCTGCTGCTTTGCTATTTTGCTGCCTCTGTAGCTTCTCCCCATGGAACCTGGCATTCAAGGGCAAGGGGAAAAGACATCCAGAAGCCACCTTTCTGAGTACACTCACTTCTGATGTTTGCAGCTTCCCACAGTATCCCACCCTCAGTGTCACTGGGATGGGAAGGGGAAAGGGTCTGAGTGGCCAGAGCCAAGACAGATCAGACAGCACTGGGTATACAGTGACAATGGCGGTCTCAATAGAACCAGGGGGAAAGATCTGGAAACACAAAAGCCTGTCACTCTGAAGAAGCTTTCTGAGAGTTCAGATTCATAAAATTACATCATGTTAGAGGCTTTGAAAAACCATGTGTCTGTAGATGATAGCAATGTGTTCCTTCCCTGTGCAAATGCTTGTTTTACTATGATGATAGATTGTGTTCTGTGTGGACAAGATAACAGAGAAACAGAAAATTAGGGGTATTAGAAATTTAGTAGCCTCATTATTTTTTATCAAGATTCCTAATAATCATTACCATGTTTTTAATTACTTCATTCCACTTAATTCTTGCAGCAACCCTAACGGGTAGGTGCCATTGTCATTCCCTTTTTAAAGTTCAGGAATATGACCGTTAGAGAAGAAAATAGTTTCCCTGAGTTCACACAGCTAGTGAAAAGCAGGCCAGGATTGAAACCAGGGGCTCCAAGCACTATTATGCAGTCTGTGCACTGAACAACTCCTGAGATAACTATTCACAGACTAGATGTAAATAGTATTCCCTGGAGTTGTATAGAACAGCAGCCCAAACACAGTGCTTATGCACACCCCTGAGCTTTTGAGTAAATATATGTAACAAGAGAATAACTTTTTAAATGTATATAACAAGAGAACTGTACTCTTTAAATTAAAAAGCACACATTGTAGAAGAATCTGATTGCTTGGATTGTGTTTGATTTTATTGCTTTGCACTGTTCAGGCTTTAACTCCTATTTATAACCTGGCATATTTCTTAGTTTTATCTTCTGGAGTTCCAAAGGAAACAGGTAGAATTCACATAAGCTAATGTTGACTCTTTCTCCCTAGAGTTTTGCATAAGTGCAGAGTTTAGGACATCACCATCTAATCCATACCAGAAAAGAACAAACATGTCACTGACCTGTGTATCCCAGAGAAGTTTACCTAACAAATGCCATATTTGGAGCTTCTCAGATCCCTGGGTGCTGTTGACCAGGGCATAGCCAAAAGGAGGCTGCAGCCATTCTGAAAACTTCCTGGGGAAGGAAGGTGATTCTAAAAGGCAATTAGTGTCTGTAAAATTACACTGAGCTCTAATTTATGGGTGATATGCTGCAATCAGATTTAGATCCAATTCCTACCTATTAGAATCTCCCACAAAATAAGTAAAAAATATAAATCTGAGAAAGAGACAGTAATGTGTGGAAATTTAGAGAAAAGGGAAGGAGGAGAGGTAGAGACCGATCAAAGAAGTAGCCCAACTCTTCAGTCTGCACTGGAAGGCGGGGCTGAGGTAGGCAGGAGGTGGGGAGCGGTGTGTGATAAATAAATCATCTGCACCCTACCCTCACCAGGTGTGTGGGATTGCCTCAGGAAAGGGTGTTTGTCTTGAGTCCTACCCATGAATATATATTTACATTATAAACAAAAATGTTGCTTCACAGTCTCTATCAGAACCCTGTTTTTCTAAAAGTGTAGATCTGGATTTTCATTTCAGTTTCACCCAGAAGTTACTGAACTATTTGTTCAGGTTGTTCCAATGACTGCATGCCTATCCCCAGCACCTCTGCCAGCCCTGGTCCTGCCCAGGAGGGCAAGTCCATGCCAGCCTTACCCCCTCCCCATCCCATGAATAAATGGGTGTGTGAACAACACTAGCCAAATTCCAAGATAGTACCACGTCATCGAGAGAACACACACACACACACACACACATCAAATAGAAAACGTTGCTTAGGCCCCAATAGTTCCTTACCTATGCTATTGATGTTTACTTGACAGAAGTCTCACTTATTTACAGTGTACAATTTGTTACTTTTTAACATGTGTGAACCTCCAAAATCATCACAACAATCCAAAGAGGAATGCACCATTTTCATAAACATTGATGACTGTTTCCAGGAGATGGTTTCTTTAAGTCAAGAATGTCTTCAAATGAAACAAACTTCCTGAAATTTTTTTGACAAGGAGAGTCTGCACTGTGGCTATCTAAACAAACCCCTTTGTGTTGACCTTTATCAGTAGGAAATTTGACAAGATTCTGATGTTGATTTCCTTGATTCTCCATCAGAGTCTGTCTGGAATGGAGAATGTGGACATATTCATGCGGGGTAGGATTCCTGGTAAGGTTCCAACGTGCTCAGTGTGGGCTCTCACAAAGTTAAGCAGATGAAAGAAGGAAGAGAAAATGCCCAGCACTGAGCAAACTTGGCTGTAACAGGGAGCTCAAAAGCCCCTGGCAGCCAGGTGGTCACACTGTGGGGGAATCAGTCATTAGCACACAGGACTAAACTGTTTCCAGGCGGAAGGTGGGAACATAAAATTCAGTCCTACAAGTCCTGTGAGAAATGAATTCACCAAAACAGTAGGGAAGTTTCAAAAGGAATAAAGCACTTCTTTCAAACTGGAGTTTCAAACATACATAGGAAACCAATTCCATGTTCTCAGTCAAGCAACTCTGCTTTCAGAGCTTCTCTGTTTCAGAAATACAGCAACTGGCCCCAGTAAAGAGAAATGAAAACACACAGCAGGCACTGGAATCAGCCCTCTAAATCCTAACTCTTTCCTGCTGTACAGCTCAAAAATTCTATTTGAATTTGCAGTTATATGAACTCTTGCATTTTAGAAGAGTACCTCCGGACAGGAGATATTTCATTTCTAGGAAATGAAAGGCATTTCATTTTCAAGGAATGAAGTATTCTATTACTCATTTGAATAACATTAACATTCAGGAGGGATATATGGAAAGTATCTAAAATTTTTAGTATCTAAAATTATGTCTGCACTTGGGAACATAGAAGCTTCAGCGTAAATATCCTACCCTGAGCTTCTTAAGAGTAACAATCACTATGGCAACATCACCACATGTAGGGCAGATGTCTGCCCAAAACCAGTTGTTGACTTTAAATCACGATTTCTAAAGCTTTGGCTTCACACACAGGAACTAACACCACCACATCATAAAATTTCTGTTAAATCTTCAGGTACCTTGGTAAAGGATACATAGGTTACATGTGTATAGGGAGAATGCTACATTTCCTATCACTCCAAACGATATAAAGGATTGTCTTTATTGCTTTCATGTCCTCCTCAAACCTCTCCCCCCATGTCAATTTCCACAATCGATGTCTACCAGCACCATGCTATTGAAATTTTTCTTGTCAAATTTCTGGGAATCCCTAGTTTCCAAGTCCAGTAATTTATTTACCTGCATCCTTCTTGACTTGTGGCACATTTATGTAGTTGACCACTGTTATTGAATTGTATCCCCCCAAATTCATCTATTGACATCCTAATGCCTGGTTTCTCACCAAGTGATCTTATATGAAAGTATGGTCAGGGGCTGGGGTTGGGGCTCAGCAGTAGAGCACTCGCCTAGCATGTGCAAGGACCTGGGTTCAATCCTCAGCACCACATTAAAAATAAAATAAAGATACTGTGTCTAACTACAACTAAAAATATATATTAAAAAAAAAAAAGAAAGTATGGTCACTGCAGATGTAATTAGTTAAGATGAGATCATACCAGAGCAAGAGCCTCATTCAGTATGACTGGTGTCCTTGTAAAAGGGGAATCTGAAGACAGACACAGTGCAAAGATTATATGAAGAGACGCAGGGAAAAACCATGTGAAGGCAAAGATTGGGCTGCTCCCTCTACAAACCAGGGAACACTAAATTGTGACCAAACTACAAAAGCTAGGAAGAAGCATAGCACAGATCCTTCGGTCACAGCTCTCAGAGAAAATTAGCCCTGCCAACATCTTAATCTTGGACTTATAACCTCCTGAATGGTGAGAAAATAAACCATTGTTTAAGCTGCTCAGTTTGTGATCCTTTATTATGATAGCTCTAGTGGACTAATACAACTATCATTCCTTGAAACTCTTGTCCCAGAGCCTCTGGTTTACAGAGAGCACTCTTTGAGGTTCTGCCAGCTCTCTGATCCTCTCAGCCCTTCCCCTTCTTTCTGTCTAAATGTCTGCCTTTTCTGTAATTCCATCTTCATCCTCTCCATGCAGAGGCAATATCGTTTGGTAGTAAGAGCACAAGTTCTGGAATCATACCTCCTTTCAGAGTGACTTTGGTCAATATATTGGATCACTGTTTGATTGTCCCATCAGCAAACCAATAGTTCTTGAGAATGTTGTTCTAAGAAGTAAATCATTTCATACATATAAAGTCCTAAATATGTAAGTGCTCAACAATCACTATAATTATGAACTTCTCTTGTTACTTCCACATTTTCCCTCTTGTAATCTCAGCTTCTTTTCTTGTGATGGATATTAGTTATACTTTTTAGCCATACTGTACTTTGAACTCTCTTCTCCCACCTTAAGAGCCATTACTGCCAAGGGTGGTGGCACACACCTGAAATCCCAGAGACTGGGGAGGCTGAGGCAGGAGGATCAAAGCCAGGCCTCAGCAGATTAGCAAGGCCCTAAGCTACTCAGTGAGACCCTGCTTCTAAATAAAATACCAAAAAAAGGCTGGGAATCTGGCTCAGTGGTAAAGTACCCCTGGGTTCAATTCCCAGTACCAAAAAGAAAAAGAAAACCCTTACCTTCTATGGTAGAGGTCAGCTTGCTAGTCCTATTTCCAGCCTCAGTTGTGGTAGAACAGACATGTCAGTGGTACCTACCGGAGCTGGGAGCCAGGGAAGAAAGGAACCTCTAATGGAGAGCTTCCAGTATCCAGAGGCAGCTATGGCAGAGGCTAATGGCAGCATCTGTGTGCTGGCTGTGTTGGTGGGACCAGTAGCAAAAGCAGGGCCCAGTTTTGCATTGTGATTGGGAATTGTTCATTGTCAAATAATCTCTAATCTTGGTTCTTTTGTCTTTCTGGAAATTCTATGAGCTACCCATTATCACTAATAAATTACTTTCTTGTTAAACAAATCAGGGTTGCTTTCTATTGTTTGGAAACAAGGTACACACAATTTTGTCTTCAATGACCACTTATATACTGATGATTCTCTAACCTATATCTCAGTTTCTGCTTCCCACTTGAAATTCTATCTGGAATAATTCTATTTTGGAATTCTATTCCTCACTGCCTACATGTTTTTAAAATGAGAGCAACCTATGTATACTGAAAGTATGATTTCATTACCTCAAGCTTCCTTAAAATGTATTTATTAGAATTCTCAGATGTTCAAAATGCCCCTCAGTACAGCTTGAGTTAAGAGTGGGGTGGAGGGTCGGGCCGGGGATGTGGCTCAAGCGGTAGCGCGCTCGCCTGGCATGCGTGTGGCCCGGGGTTCGATCTTCAGCACCACATACAAACAAAGATGTTGTGTCCGCCAAAAACTAAAAAATAAATATTAAAAAAAATTCTCTCTCTCTCTCTCTCTCTCTCCCTCTCTCTTAAGAAAAAAGAGTGGGGTGGGTAAGGGAGAGAGAAGGGAAATTGCATGGTAAAGGAAGGAGACCCTCATTGTTATACAAAATTACATATAAGAGGAAGTGAGGGGAAAGGGGGAAAAAAAACAAGAGAGAGAAATGAATTATAGTAGATGGGGTAGAGAGAGAAGATGGGAGGGGAGGGGAGGGGAGAGGAGGGGAGGGGGGATAGTAGAGGATAGGAAGAGAAGCAGAATACAACATACACTCGTATGGCAGTATGTAAAAAAGTGGATGTGTAACTGATGTGATTCTGCAATCTGTATATGGGGTAAAAATGGGAGTTCATAATCCGCTTGAATCAAATGTAGGAAATATGACATGTCAAGAGCTTTGTAATGTTTTGAACAACTAATAATTAAAAAAAAAAGAGTGGGGTGGGTGTAGATATGTGGGAAGCAATGCTCAACTTTTCAAACTAGGGGACAATTCATTTCTATTAAAAACATAAAACAATGCATAAGATCCACATCAATTATCGAATTTTAAAATTCCAGTTTTAGTTGTTCCATAATGGCATGAGTCACCAATAGTTTGATCAAAATATAAAATGAAAGCCCATCATTACAACCTCCATTTCATCTGTAATCTCCCAGCAGAGTTTTAGTCACACAACACCCAGCTTAGAAGCCTATATCACCCTAATTCCATCCCCTTTCTCAAGCTATATTCAGGCACTGAATTGCCTAAATCCCACCTATAAAATCTTGAAGACTCCCAAGTTCACACAGAGACCTTTCTCCATTTCTGTTGTCACGGTTCATCTCTCATCTACAATCTACTTCATGAGGGATTCCATATTTTCTTCCTCCCGATCCGATCCGCGCAGTCTGAGCCCAGCTGGGAGCTCATCCCCACCAGCAGTCTCCAAAGTTCTCCTCTCTTATCTCCCCATCTTCTTATCTATATCCAGTCCTAAGTTTCCAGAGGAGGACATTATAAAACTGGCTTTATAAAATTATATAGTTTCCAAAAACATGTTTCAAGTATAAACCACAGCTCTTGAAGCTCTTGGCAGCTTTGTTCTCAGGTTACCTGATAATTTCCCAAAATAATAGTGATCCTGTATGTGGCACTGCCCAGTTTAGGGAAGGGAAAACTATCAGTTAATAGTTAAAAATTTTATCCCGCTACTCAAAAAGATACTTTCCAGAATCCCTCAACTGCACAATATCACAAGTGTCAAGGAGGCCCAAGAAAGCAGTTGAGTTTTCTTGATTGCTGAGCTGAGCTGTAAGCCAGGAAATAAGCAAATGGAGGCAAACATAGGGCTGATCACCTTAGGAAATCTATGGCCAGTGAGCTTTTGTCTCTCAACAATAGTGGTATCTGTGGGGAAACTTTTGCAAATAGGGAACGTCATTTTGGATTCATGAGGGGAGATAACATTTATTTGCACATACTATTGGGATGAAATTCTCCATGAAATTTTTCACATTTCTGCACTATCTGGACTTTCTGAACAAAGAGCTTTGCAAACTGAGTTAAAGAAAGATTGAGCCTGGTGCAGTGGCACTCACCTGTAATCCCAGCAGCTCATGAGGCTGAGACAGGAGGATCACAAGTTCAAAGCCAGCCTCAGCAATGGTGAGGCCCTAAGCAATTCAGTGAGACCCAGTCTCTAAATACAAAATAGGGCTGGGGGATGTGGCTCAGTGGCCGAGTGCCCCTGGGTTCAATCCCTTTTACCAAAAAAAAAAAGAAAAGAAAGAAAGATTGAATGGCAAACATGCCTAGGAAGTTAGAACATTTCTTGGAGAGATTAAGAGGCTTATCTTTCCTGGTGCTATTTGTCCCTCTCTTTTGGAGACTTTTGCTGACATTCCAAAGTAAAGGTAAGGTCAAAGTCTCTGTTCTCTCCCCTTCCCTCATGTGTGTTTGTGTGTCTGTATATTTCTGTGTAGATTTGTGTCTGAAAAGGAGGATGAAAAAAATGTGTCAACATTCCGAATATGTACTCTAAATCTCATAATTTTGGTGTTTCTCCAGAGGGAAAACCCTGTTGCATGTACAATGTAGCATCAGCCTCTCACCTAAACTTGGGGCTCAAGGAACTAGCACTAAGATGCTGTATGAGACAGGCACGTGGTGTATGCCTGTAATCCCAGTGACTCGGGAGGCTGAGGCAGGAGGATTGTATTTAGTGAGGCCCTAAGCAACTCAGTAAGACCCGCTTTCTAATAAAATATTAAAAAGGCTGGAGATGTAGCTTGGTGGTCAAGAGCCCCTGGGTTCAATCCCTGAAAAAAAAGAAAGAAAGAAAGGAAGGAAGGAAGGAAGGAAGGAAGGAAGGAAGGAAGGAAGGAAGGAAGGAAGGTGCTATGTGGATAATAAGTGGTCTGTATTTTGGTCTAAACATCTTTTGTTTCCTGTCAGAATATGAATATATATTTATATTTACACACATACATATATAATATACACAGGCATGTAGCACATCTAGCACTATTTTGTTTAATCCTGAAAAAAGCCCCAAGTCAGATAAAGTATTATTACCATTTTATAGCTGAGCAAACTAAAGCTCAGAGAGGTAGTTGTTTGCCTAAGGTCGATGTGATCGATGGCAGAGGTGGGTTTCAAATTCAGCTATTTAACACTAAAGTTTGTGCTCTTTCTACTTTAATAGTTACCACTATTGTGGTATGGATTGACCTCTTTCTATCTCAGTTTCCCTATATTTAACAAAATTAGATTATATGGCCACCAAGATCACATCTATCATTTTAAGATTCTGTGCTTCCCCTTCTATCTTGTCTTCAAGTTCTATCCACAGACACCCTTTTGTTTTGCCAAGTGACTATGGATGGCTTTCCTTTGAGTCTTTGTTCAACTCATATTTTTCACCTGGAAGCACTCCACTCTTTGAGGTCCTGTTCTTATACCAAAGCACCGGGATTATCAAAAAAGCCTTGGTGATGGCTGTCCCCCACAGCACCAACTGTCTACAACATTCATTATTGATTTTGGCATCAATTACTTCACCTACTATTTTGTTTCATAGATAAGCTTCAAAATTCATCACCAGCATGTAAATGTTTATCTCCACAGCATCTTGAATTTGAATAGCTACTTAGGTTGACAACAGAAAATTGTAACAGAAAGAAATTTGTGTTTATTTGTATTAAAGGTGAATCAAAAATCACATCATAAATGATAGCAAAAATATCCTTTTGTCTTGTTTCAGGTTCCATATTTAGCTTGATATATGTTCATTCTGGCATTATTTTGACAAGCATGTTTAATACATGATTTTCCATCATGTATTGATTGTCCTAAGAGTTTAGGAAAACAATCGTGAACAAATAAATGTGGTCCTAGCCTTCTAAATGTTTACAGTTAGTGAAGTGATCAGGAGGACACGCATTAACTGAACACTCACTGCCATAGATGGGCTTCTAAGACAGTTCCCAGCAATCCCTGCTACCTGGTACTCAGGCCTGTGTGGGGGCTGAACTTACTGTCTGACTTTTAATGAACACAATACAGAAAAAGTGATGATTAGGCACAGAAAACTGAGAGCTGTCTTGCTACCACTCTCCCTGCTGGCTCCGTCTCTTTTATGCCTTTGCTTGCTTGCCTCATTTTCAGATTCCATGCTTCCCCTAATTTAAACCTCATGTTGAGAGATTCTCTCTGGAAAGGCCCATGTGGCAAGAAGTCAGGAGTACATAAGGAATTGAAACTTCAGGTCAGTGGTCTGCAGGGAAGTGGGTCCTGCCAGCACCATTTGAATGAACTTGGAAGTAAATTTTCTCTAGTTGAGTCTTCCAGTGAGAACTCACCAGATGACACTTTGAATGCAACTTTGGGAGGGATCCTGAAGCAGAAGTCCCAGCTAATTTTTCCTATAGAATTCATAGAAACTTACCCACAGAAACCATGAAATATAAATATGAATTGGTTATTTTAAATATAATTGTTTCACTCCTGGGGATTGAACCCAGGGCCTTGCACAGTAAATACATGTTGTTTTAAAGCCACTAAGTTCTAGGGAGATTTGTTATACAGGAACAAATAATTCACACACTCACACAAATGTACACATATTTACAGATGGTGCTAAGTGCTACGAAAAAGACAGTAAAGAATGGAATTAAGAGATTATAACAAGATTCCCTCATTTAAATTTAGTTTTCTATTTCCTTCACTTGGGTATTGAATTTTATTGAATATGTGTAATTAGTTGGTCCTTTGTAGTGATACTGAAGAAAACATTTTCAACAATAATTTATACTTGAATACATTCTTATGTGTGGTGTTCTCTCTAAACTCAACTACTAAGCCCTTTTAAAAATAATACTATAGCCA